GTACCTGTGTTTCCTAACTGTAGTCTTACTTTACCATTTTTAGTTTTCTTTCTTTTTTTTTGTGAAAGTATTGTAGCAGTATGTTATATGCGGTTATGACTATCTGATTCGCTTCTATTCGCCCATGAATAAAGCATATATAGACCGTATTTTCTTTAATAGTACTGCACCCAGAGCGTCGCTTAAATCGCTCATATATATAATAGTTTGACAAAAAATAAGATACATCATATGTTTTATTTTAGGAAATGTTTTATTTTCTATTATTATATCAAAAAAAACTATTTCAAAATCATCAAAACAAATAGATTTTAGTCTAGTCCAAAAAAAGAAAAGAATAACGAATAAACATGAAAAACTTTGTGAGTTTAAAAGAGATTTCTCTCAAAACTTTCAACTGTGATTTGTGAATTTAATGGTTTAGGCAGAAAAGTACAATTGTGCTTTGTGAAAGTGTTTACAAGAAAAAGAAAATGATTTGGGATATTTTGGAGTCTTTTGAAGTCTTTTAGAGTCTTTTGGAGTCTTTTGGAGTCTAGAACTTTCGATTTTTAGCCGAGAAACGGTTGACTAAAGTATAAATAGAGGAAAGATGCGGAAATTCGGGATGAATAATTCGGGATGAATAACTCAGGGTTTCTTCGAGGAATATGTTTTCTCTTATAATCATTTTTGAATCATTTGTGAGTAAACGATTGAAGCGCTTTGTACTAATTGTACTACTTTGTACTAATTCTTTGTCCTCAATTGATGTAAATCACATTTTTGTGCCCTTTTGTGCACTGACTTTAATAATCACTTTTCTGACTTTACTCAAGTACTTTTTGACCATTGATAATTGAATATTTAATATTTATCATATTGTACATAACTGACTGTGCTAAATGAGGAGAATCTTTTGATTTCCTCGATATTTACAAACCAACTCCACTAATGTTCTTTTTTCTTCAAAAGTTCAATGATTTGCTTTAAATCTGGGTCGGAATGAAAAACAAATATGTAGGATTAAACAAATCGAAGCGAAAAGTTTGGACTACCTTGGACTAGTTTGGACTACCTTGGACTAGTTTGGACTACCTTGGACTAGTTTGGACTACCTTGGACTAGTTTGGACTACCTTGGAACAGTTTGGACTAGTTTGGACTAGTTTGGACTACCTTGGACTAGTTTGGACTACCTTGGACTAGTTTGGACTACCTTGGAACAGTTTGGACTAGTTTGGACTAGTTTGGACTACCTTGGACTAGTTTGGACTACCTTGGACTAGTTTGGACTACCTTGGACTAGTTTGGAATACCTTGGACTAGTTTGGACTACCTTGGACTAGTTTGGACTACCTTGGACTAGTTTGGACTAGTTTGGACTACCTTGGACTAGTTTAGACTACCTTGGACTAGTTTGGACTACCTTGGACTAGTTTGGACTACCTTGGAACAGTTTGGACTAGTTTGAACTACCTTGGACTAGTTTGGAATACCTTGGACTAGTTTGGACTACCTTGGACTAGTTTGGACTACCTTGGAACAGTTTGGACTACCTTGGAACAGTTTGGACTAGTTTGGACTACCTTGGACTAGTTTGGACTACCTTGGACTAGTTTGGACTACCTTGGACTAGTTTAGACTACCTTGGACTAGTTTGGACTAAACGATAGCTCAATAACAGCATCATCTTGAGATTTTCCTCTCACATTAAACCCTCTGAACCAGCATTTTTTATCTAGTTTTTATATTGCTTAACAGTTTTTATGAATGTATTAGGTAAATGCATAAGAAATGCGGATTTCAACATTTTCATCAATTTCCAACGATAGAAACCCGATATCGATGAATGTTATAAACTATTTGAAAGTTTTAAAGTTGTAGTTTAAAGTTTTAAAATTGTAGTTTAAAGTTTAAAGTTTGAAAGTTGTAAATCTCCTCTATAAAATAGGCTAAAAGGTGTTTCAATTGAGCGAACCATTGAAGAAAATGAAGAAAAGCTCCAGCCTTCTATCTCATTACAGTAAAGATGACAAACAATAAACTGACAAAGGAGTGAATTAAGCCTAAAGTTCAGAACTTTAGGCTTTAGAGAAAAGTCTAACGTACCCATAGAAAAACCCAACGTACCCAGCGATGCTAAGGTGAGTGAGGTAATTCTTGTATCATTTTGTCATCTCTCAAAGTCAAAGTCATTTCTTTCATTTCTTGAAACTGTTCACTCTGATCAGTTTAATATTTTCAATTATTTAGAATTCATACTATTTAGAATTGAGAATAGAAATAGAGAATAGAAAACGAAGACTTACACTACTTCTACTCATTGGAAAAGCTAATTTTTTGAATCTAGAATCTATTAGGTTGATGCATAAGTCTTTTCGTTCCTTTTCGTCTGCCGTTTCAAGCCAACAAATGCACCGGTTGATTGATTACGGTTTATTACGGTTACATTACAACTACGGTTGATTTCATTAGAAAAAGCAATTATTTTTCTGCAAAATAACATTAAAACGGGTTTAAAAATATTGAATGCCTGGATTTTCTTGAGAGTATGAAGTCGGGTAGTCAAAAAGGGCTAACTCGATGATGCGGTTTAGACACCTTAGCTAAAGAAAACCTATCTTCGTGTCAATAGATAAAAGATAGAGAAAAAAAAACGTTTGATATTTCGCCAAAATTTCAGAGAAATTCATTCAGCCAATTTTTCCGTAGAGTTTTTTATAGATTTTTACGAAAAAGGCGTTTTTCACTCTCGAATTTGCTTGAAAGTGAACCGAAATTCATTTAAAAAGATGCAAATTGAACAAAAAAAAACACTTTTTTTATAGAGCAAACTATAGATTAATTGGTGAATTTGTTACTTTTTAACAGAAGTACGAAAAAAACGAAAACACTTATGCATCAACCTATTAAAATTCGTCTATTTAAAAAAAAAGGAATCGATTATTGTTGCAAAATGCTGTATCAAAATTAAGTCAAATAATGAAAATGATCGAGCTTTACAGCTTTCAAATGCAAGATACAGGATTAATGCAAATTTTTGACTTCAAACATCATTGTCCGGAAGTCCGGAAGATGAAAAAGCTTGATCTTGAGCTTGTCCGGAAGATGAAAAAGCCATTAATTTTATAGATTCAATATTGACATAGCAATTGAGTTCTTCTACAGGATGCGGCAACATTATGGAACGACAATTAATCGTAATTTTCGCAACGAGCAACAATTTATTCATGAAATTAAGAAAAAACAAATTAAGACAAACAAAAAAACAAACAAAACAAACAAACAAAACAAAAAAACACTTTTTTTATAGAGCAAACTATAGATTCATTCGTGAATTTGTTACTTTTTAACAGAAGTACGAAAAAAAACGAAAACACTTATGCATCAACCTAATATTTTGATGTATAATATTTATTATATAAACAAAGCTTAAAAGCTCAACAATTGCAATAGTAGAAAATTGCATTCTACTATTGCAATTGTTGAGCTTTTAAGCTTGTGTAGTATAATCTAATTATCACAAGCTATTTTCAAACTTTCAAATTTAAATTTTTCAACATAGATGTTCAACTTTTGCATATTATGACTATATTATGTGCATTTTTATGACTCTCCAAGAGCATTTACCTCATCACTTTTTCAGTTTTCACTTCCTAATCCACCTTTTGAAAAGAATGGTCAAAAAAGCAAGGTTTCAGTTTACGAAAAGCGCACAAAAATGGGGACAAACGCTTTTAGAGAATAGGGGAGAAAACTAGGGTGGAAACTGGTTGTATTGTATTGTATTGAGGGTTTGTGTCTATCGTTGGCGGATAAGTCCTCTTCCGATTCATATTCATTCTTTTTTAAAGTTCCCTTTTCTCCATAAACATCATCAACATATTTCAGCTTAGTGGTGAAAGCCGTTTCCCAATTAAACACATCGATTTGATTAGCTTGAATACACAACTGACTCATTAAAAAGTCTCTTTAACTTCAGAGTTCTTTAACTCCAAAAGTTCTTTAACTCTGAAAGTCCTTTAACTCCAAAAGTTCTTTAACTCTGAAAGTTCTTTAACTTCAAAAGTTCTTTAACTTCAGAGTTCTTTACCTTCAAAGGTTCTTTAACTTCTAAAGTTCTTTAACTTCTAAAGTTCTTTAACTCTAAATATCCTTTAACTTCAAAAGACCTTTAACTTCAAAAGTTCTTTAACTTCAAAAGTCCTTTAACTTCAAAGGTTCTTTAAATTCAAAAGACCTTTAACCCCAAAAGTTCTTTAACCCCAAAAGTTCTTTAACTCCAAAAGTCCTTTAACTTCAAAAGTTCTTTAACTTCAAAAGACCTTTAACTTCAGAGTTCTTTAACTTCAGAGTTCTTTAACTCCAAAGACTCTTTAACTTCAAAAGTTCTTTAAATTCAAAAGTCCTTTAACTTCAAAAATCCTTTAACTTCAAAGGTTCTTTAACTCCAAAAGTTCTTTAACTCCAAGCTTTTTGCTTTTTGTAGCTTTTTTGTTGGAAAGTAAGATCAAATTGAACGGCTTTAGTCTGTTCAAGAATTTTTGAAGTTATCCTTTAACTTCAAAAATCCTTTAACAGACTAAAGCCGTTCAATTTGACCTTACTTTCCAACCAAAAGCAGAAGTAATGAAACTTTGCAAATGAAAAATGAAACTGTAATGAAACTGTAATGAAACTTTCTTAAACCAAAACTTGCTCAACTACAACACGATAGATTTCTGATTTGAGTTTTCCATTTCTACATCAGTCAAAACCTTCCATTCCTTTTTTTTTCCAAATCTTTGTGCCACGAATCGACCATAAATAGTCTCTCAGTCTTAACCCCGCCAAAAATCGAAGGGGAAAAAGTCATCCTCAATCGACTCGCAATCATGCCAACCATTGTCGTTTCTCTTTTTTCTCAATTTCATTCCATTTCTTTTCGCTAATTGGATCGTATCACTCTCCGAGTTTTTCTGTGTTCTTTTCAATGGTTTAAAGGAAAAGCTGGGGATTATTTTAGGTGACTGAAGAAATATGAGGTTGATTTTCTTGCTGATATTGTTTTATCGACAAATTGATTCGTATGCGATCAGTCGGGATTTCAAGGAGTACCTGGTTAGTAGAGACGGTTAGTAGAGAACCATTGGAAACGGGAAAAGTTCAATCCAAACCTAATTCCACCCTTGGTTTTCTTAGCCAATTGCTCTGAATGCTTGTCTACAAATAGAAATCAACAATCAACATCAACATTTTCATCTTGTAGACAAAATTTCAGAGGCATCGGTCAAGAAACGGCCTAGAAAACAAAGGTGGAATTTGGTTTGGCTTGGAATTTTTCCGTTTCCTTGGTTTCGTTTCCCTGGTTTCTAATGGTAGTTAGGTTTTGACTGAAGTTAAATTGCCACTAGATCAAAGTTTATTAGGCTTATAGTTGCTCAAATCTGTAAATCAAGTTTAGCAAGTGTACTTTATGCTGTAAATAGAAACGTAAGTTTCCTGGCACATTTAAGCTCATCAGAAAAAGTGTTTTTCTTTGAGCACAAAACCATTTCAAATCTAGATCAATATTATGAATGTAATCTAGAAGAAATCGATTTTGCTTCAACCTTTATAATGTTTAGATTGATCGTTACGGTGAGGAGATTGCTCGTTCGATTTATAGACCCGAGATTTTTCGTGGAAGTGTCGGTGGAAATGATCACATTGCTGAAGAACCGACAAAGTGAGTGTTTTGCTTGGATTCTCATTAGGAAGTAGTCAGATTTCGCAAGCGCGAATCCGAACTAAAGAACCAATCCGAACCAAAGAACCAATCCGAACTAAAGAACCAATCCGAACCAAAGAACCAATCCAAACCAAAGAACCAATCCAAACCAAAGAACCAATCCCAACCAAAGAACCAATCCGAACTAAAGAACCAATCCGAACTAAAGAACCAATCCGAACCAAAGAACCAATCCGAACTAAAGAACCAATCCGAACTAAAGAACCAATCCGAACTAAAGAACCAATCCGAACCAAAGAACCAATCCAAACCAAAGAACCAATCCCAACCAAAGAACCAATCTGAACCAAAGAACCAATCCAAACCAAAGAACCAATCCAAACCAAAGAATCAATCCCAACCAAAGAACCAATCCGAACTAAAGAACCAATCCGAACTAAAGAACCAATCCGAACCAAAGAACCAATCCGAACCAAAGAACCAATCCAAACCAAAGAACCAATCCAAACCAAAGAACCAATCCCAACCAAAGAACCAATCCAAACCAAAGAACCAATCCCAACCAAAGAACCAATCCCAACCAAAGAACCAATCCGAACCAAAGAACCAATCTAAACCAAAGAACCAATCCCAACCAAAGAACCAATCCAAACCAAAGAACCAATCCAAACCAAAGAACCAATCCCAACCAAAGAACCAATCCGAACCAAAGAACCAATCCGAACTAAAGAACCAATCCGAACCTATGGCCAACTCGATTCAAGGTTTTGGCTCGATCGTAAATCATCAAACTTTGCGTCAGTGACTAGGTTGAGTGACCGGCTCAACTTGATTGAGTCACTGACTGGAATCGAGTTGGCAGCATAGTGAACCGCTTCGAGTTAACTAAGGAACGGCCAGATTTCGCAAGCGCGTACCCGAGCCAAAGTTGCATGATACGGAAGTCGGACACGGGCAACACGATGGTGTTTTTAGTTTTTGTTGAAAGGCTCTAGATTTCTGTAAAAACGTAATTGAAAGTGGCCCCCTAGCCGGAGCTGTCGCCTACCAAAGAATTGACTTAGTGGGGCAGTGGTAGTGTCGGTGTCTCTCATTCTTCGTATCCTAGTTCGATCTCCATCGAATCAGTTTTTTCGCATTTTGATTTTAAGCAGTAAGGTTGTATTTTGAGCAGTTTTTGAATATCTTTAGCTTCGATTGCATTCTTTTGCAAAGAAAAAACTTTTCTATTGTCTCAAAAAAGACTTAAAGCCTTTTCTGAGCCTATCGTTTTTCCTAACCTATCGTTTTTTTCTAAGCTATCGTTTTTCTATTGTCATAATACCCTACAAAAGATCAGGAAAGCTCATAAAAGCTCAAATTGATTTGATGGGGATCGAACTAGGAAGCAAGGAATGGAAGACACCGACACTACCACTGCAACACCAAGTCAATTGTTTGGTAGGCGACGGTAGCCGTTACAGCTCCGGCTAGGGGCTCATTTTCAGTTACGTTTTTACAGAAATCTAGAGCCTTTCAAACTAAAAACTAAAAACGCAGTTGTGTTGCTCGTGTCCGACTTGCGTAAGTCATATAGCTTTGGTTCGGATCCGCGAAATCTGTTAGTTCCCTAGCGAGTTTACTTTGGGCCCAAATCTGTAATCATTCTCTTTCTGGCGTACTGGAAATCCACTAGCTTTTTAATAGTTTTGAGTAGTTTTTGAATATCTTTAGCTTCAATTGCGTTCTTTTGCAAAAAAAGCTTTTCTATTGCCACCAAAAATTCATTTTCCTGAGTGAAAAGAAAAAAAAATGATTGGCGGATGGGCTCTTTTGATTTTGTCAGCACAAAATGCGTACCGTAAATACTGTAATAGTACCCCATCCCCCTCGTACAGTCGCGTAGTCGCAAGTATTTCAGTCGCATGTCGCAGTTTTTTAGTATTTCATTTTTTTCAAAGCATCCGTACATTCAAAAAATGCGTCTTTGGTATCAAAAAATAGCCCTAAATCTCAGCTATTTTTTGACACCTAAGCGCGCATTGTAGCATAAACCAGTGTCGAGAAAAACTCGTTCAAAGCTAGACTACGCAACACTCCGCACCATCATTATGGGGGTGGGGTACTATTACAGTATTTACGGTATCAGTTTTTGCTTTCGATTCCCTTTATTATAGCCGCTATTGTTAGACACTTACAATTCGAAATTTAAAACCGAAAACGAGCCAATCATTCGGATTTCAGCCGAATCCCGGTCGTTTTTATCCATGGACTCGGCACAAAAGCTGGTGATTATGTATCAATTCAAAAAGTCAGTTAACCATAGAAATTCTTTAAAATCTCAATTTTATTCAAATATTCAAATATTCAGATATTCAAAGAAGCCGGCTATAAACTAGAGGAAATCTATGCGTTAACCTGGGGCACGCCCGGCTCGTTTTTCACTGGAGTACATTTAGAGTGCAAGCACGTGCTACAGGTAAAAAGCACTATATTTATTCCCATTGAAAAGCCGCGTTTAGACGAAATTTGTCATTTTTTCGAATTGGTCAGCTTTTTTAAAGACTTTGAAAGACTTTAAATAGTTATAGAATAATTATAGGCTAAAAAAGCTGAATGACATGGAAAACCGGATGAAAATCCAATATAAAACCCCCATTTTTGAGCTCTTGTAGCTAGGGCACGAAAAAGAATTTTAGAGAAACATTGAAAAATCTACAGAAAAGGAATCAAATCTGTAGAGAAAAGGAACCAAATTTGTACCGAAAAGGAACCAAATCTGTAGAGAATTTAGAATGTTAGATGTTAGAATGCTATTCGAATATTATTAGAATGTTTACGGTTTGCCAGAAAGATGCTAAGCTTCTTTGTTTCAGATCCGACGATTCCTTGAAGCGGTCAGTGACTTCACCAACTCGAAAGTTGACATTATTGCCTATTCGATGGGTTCTCCATTGACAAGAAAAGTGAGCATGAATTTTTCTAGTAACTATAAAGATTATTAGGCAATTCTTGGCGGACCTTGTGTGGACAATCCCGAGATCGATCTCGGACCACCGATCTCCGATCGAATTCAGACATTCTTGGCGGTTGGCGGAGCTAATTCGGTTGGTTTTTGACTTATTACCTAGTAGCTAATATCAAAATGGGATTGACAAAGCAATCTCGTAGCATTAGATATCGTAGCATTAGATCTCGTAGCATTAGATCTCGTAGCATTAGATCTCGTAGCATTAGATCTCGTAGCATCGTCAGCAGTCCATTAGATTAAAGAGTTACTGAAGTACTGCAAGGAACGGAACTCAAGTTTGCCCAGTTTTTTTTGTGAGAAATTTGTCTTACTCTTGAGTTTGATCTAAAGATTAGAGAATCTAAAGAATCTAAAGAATCTAAAGAATCTAGAGAATCTAGAGAATCTAGAGACTCCAGAGAATCTAGAGAATCTAGAGACTCCAGAGGATCCAGAGAATCCAGAGAATCCAGAGAATCCAGAGAATCCAGAGAATCCAGAGAATCCAGAGAATCCAGAGAATCTATAGAGTCTAGAGAATCTAGAGACTCCAGAGAATCTAGAGAATCTAGAGACTCCAGAGAATCTAGAGAATCTAGAGACTCCAGAGAATCTAGAGAATCTAGAGACTCCAGAGAATCCAGAGAATCTATAGAATCTAAAGAATCTAAAGAAACACAGTTCATTTGTACTTTGGAATTGATTTTAAGATGTTTATCAATTTCCATGAACAGTACACTTTCCAGGGCTCTCATCTCTGCCAAACGCCGACCACTTTATTCTGCAATGCCGTCACCGGACTCCATTGCAACTCGACGTTTATGCAAGACATCAACTCTAGGTGATTCTATTCTAAACCATTCTATCCTAGAATCTAAACCATTCTATTTTATACAGTAAATCTTTTAGACGAAACTATGAGGCTGCTGAAGTCTTCGCAATCTACAATCCACAAGATGAATGGATTGGAGACAAATCACCTTGCGGCACTCCACCGTACACTTTACCAGGAGCCGATTTTCATTTGGTAGATACTGTTTAAATCATTAAAATTACCGACTTTTCTAGTTTCCGCAAACTTTCCACGTTTCAATTCTCTGGCGATCGGCTAGAGAACAATTGGCGCTGATCACTAGAAAATACGAAATGGGAAATCTTTTACAAGATATCAAGAAGCTGAGGATGAGATTGATACCAAGTGCAATTAGTGGAAATCATGTACAAGACAATACTGTTGATGATCGAGAGTTTTTGGAGGAGTTGAGGAGAAGGAGGAGGTGAGTTGAAGTCTTTGCTGAGTGCATGACAACTTGTCTTTGGTTTAAAGGCCTATAACTTTGTTCAGAGATAATATTTTTCTTAGCTTTTGATATTATTATATAGAGAATATTTCAGGCTTTCAAATGATACCAAATAGAGCTTGAGTGGATATTTAATTTCCGTGCAAACAAGGTGACAAGATACCCGAGTTGGATAGGCCTGATTTGTTGAGAGTTGGCTCTGATTTTCTTGAACTTGATTAGCTAATCAAGCTCTATTTGGCATCATTTGAAAGCCTGAAATGTTCTCTGTACAATGATATAAAATGTTAGCAGAAATATGATCTCTGAACAAAGTTATAGGCCTTTAAAGCGTGACGACTCGTTCAAAATACCTGGAAATTACGCAAGTGCCGAAATATTTAGTTTGACTTGAATTACAGACATTCAGAGTCGACTGGAACTTCTATAAAGTCCATTAGATTAAAGAGGAATGTCTAAAGTGACATTGTTTTAGTTCCACTAGTTTCCATGACCAAAAAACACTGCCAAGAAGCGTTTGTTCAATTTGTCCAACAATTATCACATCACTTTCCAGACGACTTCAAGATCGAACCACTCGAATCCATCGTACAACAGAAAGTACTCGAATCGCCGGCGAAGTTGCACATCCAACATCAACCATCTCAAGCTCAAGTCCAGCGAGAACCGTTCGTCTAGTAGCTCTCCAAGATGATCCACTTCCTTTGAATCCTCCATCGATCAGCTCAAAATCTGTCATTCTCCTCGCCATTCAATCACCACAAACAAGAAATCGACGGACATTTGGTGCAAAAACATTTACCACCAAAGTCTAGTCGCTCTTTTTTTCCAACTTTCCAATGATCTCGCTTGATAGTCCTTTTTTGAAAGTTTTTCTTTTGTCTTTTTTTCTCAATCGCATTTGTCTTTCCGTTTTTTTTTCAATTTTAGCTAAAGGGTTAAATTTTGCCATATCTGAATACTATCTTTGATCAAATTTTCTTCGGTTTTTCGATTTGAGAATAAAGTATTCCAATAAATGTGCTTAATAATGATTAATAATAGTGATTGTAACGATCAATAATAGTGATTTCAGTTGAGAAAAACAGAATCTACTCTTTTGAACTTTTGTTCGACTTTTGAACAGACTAGAGCCAGGCTAGAACGACTAGAGCCAGGCTAGAACGACTAGAGCCAGGCTAGAACGACTAGAGCCAGGCTAGAACGACTAGAGCCAGGCTAGAACGACTAGAGCCAGGCTAGAATGACTAGAGCCAGGCTAGAACGACTAGAGCCAGGCTAGAACGACTAGAGCCAGGCTAGAATGACTAGAGCCAGGCTAGAACGACTAGAGCCAGGCTAGAATGACTAGAGCCAGGCTAGAACGACTAGAGCCAGGCTAGAATGACTAGAGCCAGGCTAGAATGACTAGAGCCAGGCTAGAACGACTAGAGCCAGGCTAGAATGACTAGAGCCAGGCTAGAACGACTAGAGCCAGGCTAGAATGACTAGAGCCAGGCTAGAATGACTAGAGCCAGGCTAGAACGACTAGAGCCAGGCTAGAATGACTAGAGCCAGGCTAGAACGACTAGAGCCAGGCTAGAATGACTAGAGCCAGGCTAGAACGACTAGAGCCAGGCTAGAATGACTAGAGCCAGGCTAGAACGACTAGATCCAGGCTAGAACGACTAGATCCAGGCTAGAACGACTAGAGCCAGGCTAGAACGACTAGAGCCAGGCTAGAACGACTAGAGCCAGGCTAGAACGACTAGAGCCAGGCTAGAACGACTAGAGCCAGGCTAGAACGACTAGGAGCCAGGCTAGAACGACTAGAGCCAGGCTAGAATGACTAGAGCCAGGCTAGAACGACTAGAGCCAGGCTAGAACGACTAGAGCCAGGCTAGAATGACTAGAGCCAGGCTAGAACGACTAGAGCCAGGCTAGAATGACTAGAGCCAGGCTAGAACGACTAGAGCCAGGCTAGAATGACTAGAGCCAGGCTAGAATGACTAGAGCCAGGCTAGAACGACTAGAGCCAGGCTAGAATGACTAGAGCCAGGCTAGAACGACTAGAGCCAGGCTAGAATGACTAGAGCCAGGCTAGAACGACTAGAGCCAGGCTAGAATGACTAGAGCCAGGCTAGAACGACTAGATCCAGGCTAGAACGACTAGATCCAGGCTAGAACGACTAGAGCCAGGCTAGAACGACTAGAGCCAGGCTAGAACGACTAGAGCCAGGCTAGAACGACTAGAGCCAGGCTAGAACGACTAGAGCCAGGCTAGAATTCGAAAAACCCTGGTCTGATGACTGCAAATCATTTGTAACTTTAACAACAAGCGAGTTCTCATCAAGTTCCAACAATAACAATAACAATATCATCATTTCATTACTGCTAGAGTGTTCGAATAATGCAATTCTAAAGCGTAGATGCAGCAAAGGAGTGCTAATTTTCTTCTCTAATTACTCTAATTCTTCTCTAATTTCATGTAAAGATTGCTTCAAAAAACGCTCTTTCGTTTACTTTTTATTTTTACTTTTACTTTATGATGATGTGCCAAGTATGATTATGGTTTAAAAAAAGTAAAAAATTAAACATTATATCCTCATATTATTAGGTAAATGCATAAGAAATGCGGATTTCAACATTTTCATCAATTTCCAACGATAGAAACCCGATATCGATGAATGTTATAAACTATTTCAAAGTTCTAAAGTTGTAGTTTAAAGTTTAAAGTTTGAAAGTTGTAAATCTCCTCTACAAAATAGGCTAAAACGTGTTTCAATTGAGCGAACCATTGAAGAAATTTCGAGGGCGAAATGCGAGTGACCAAAAAAGGAAAAAAGGAGAGGAAAAAAATCCTCAAAGAATTAGATATAGTGTGGGTAAATTGGATAAAGCTAGAAGCCAGTAACCAGTTACAGAAACCGTAAGGTAGTTTCTGTAAGCTGACACATTTTAGCAACCGTTAAAGGTAACAAATTTCAACAAGGAAATGTCAACTGGATGTGATGACCTAATGACAAGTGCCACAAGGTATTCCACGCAGAATTCAACGCCGATTCCGAATCTGCTTTCCGTTTTTGTTATGGAGCACTCTGTCAAAAGTTATAATCGGGTAAAGTGGATAGGGTTTCATCAAAAACAGCCTGAGCTTGTAAACAGATTTCCCAGAGACTTTAAAAAGCAATGGTGGCCAAGTGGCAGTAGCTTAGAATCTCAGAAAAAGACTCTCTAGTTCGAGTCCGGTTTTACTCCTTTCTTTTGCTTTTTTGGATTTGCAAAGTTAATTGTTCTTTGTTTCAAATGCAAGTTTATTTTAAATGGTCTAGTCTAACTTTAAACGTATTTTTCTCGCCACCCGTTTAAGCTACAGTGTGCGCTTCTGTATTAAATGAAAGCTAAAATTCAGGGCTATTTTTTTGATACCAATCAAAGATACCAAACTTGAATGGGGGCTTAGAAATATGTGATTTATTAGGTTGAGGAAAAAGTAATGTCGGTTTTTGTCACAAAACTGTTTATTGCTAAAAACATAAACAAACGCACATCAATCAATGAGATATTCTCAATTTTTATTGATGACTTGTTCCCATCTTTGTCGCGAATCCCTGATCCCATCCTCAAAAAAAAAAATGCGGAGCTTTCGAGCCAAAATAAGTGTCGACTGCTTTTTTTGATTTGTGCATGATTCTCGAACTTTTCTCCCATAAGAAAATTCTTCAACGACCGAAACAAAAAATAATCTGATGTCCGGTCCGGTCCAGGTCCGATCCAGGTCCAGGTCCGATCCAGGTCCAGGTCCGATCCAGGTCCAGGTCCGATCCAGGTCCAGGTCCGATCCAGGTCCAGGTCCGATCCAGGTCCAGGTCCGATCCAGGTCCAGGTCCGATCCAGGTCCAGGTCCGATCCAGGTCCAGGTCCGATCCAGGTCCAGGTCCGGTCCAGGTCCAGGTCCGATCCAGGCCCAGGTCCGATCCAGGTCCAGGTCCGATCCAGGTCCAGGTCCAGGTCCGGTCCAGGTCCAGGTCCGATCCAGGCCCAGGTCCGATCCAGGTCCAGGTCCGATCCAGGTCCAGGTCCGATCCAGGTCCAGGTCCGGTCCAGGTCCGAACTATAAGGTGCGTGGGGCCGAAGTTTCCAACCAAGCTCGTCGATTTCCCTTATTTAAAATCATACCACAAAGCGGCTCGAAACTTTTCGTCTTGCATTTTGTACCTGAAAATATTGTTAAATTTGTAAAAATCAAATATAATAGTGTCTAGCTAATATCAATTTGAAACAAAAAAGTCGCATAAGCAAAGAACTGGAAATGGAAAGCAACAACGGGAATTCAAAATCGACATTACTTTTTCCTCAACCTAATACTTAAATGCTTACTTTTAACTTTTAACACTTTTCTCAAACAACTATCATTAAAATCCAAAAAGAAACTGACATTGAAATGCCATTTGGCCACCAAACCCAGTTGACATTCCCTAATCTCTTAGGGAAATTCTCTATCTCTTAACAGAAAGCAAGTTCTTTCCTTCACCAATTTCTCCATGATACCCACTCTTCACTCGTACTACTCCTACGAGTACTCTTTACTAGAATCGCTAGTAAAGAGATGGAAAATGATGGTTGAGTGCCGAGAAAGGGATCGTCCTCGAGTGTCCGCAAAAGATGAGGAGAGGCTAGGAGAGAGCGGTGTTCAGCCGTTCCCCTCTCTTCTCCATCCATCTTCTCTCATCCCCTTTTTGCTCCCAACCCCCGGGATCCGCCTCGCATCATTCACCCGCGCGTCGCGTGTGCTCATTTCTCGGCTTCTCCCCTTCTCCCCTCGTCTCCCCATTTTACCCCAATGTTCCCTATTTTCTTTTTCCTTTTTCTTCCTCTTCCACTGTCTACACTCGTTTTACTACTCGGTCGATAATTGATGTCTCTTCCCGAGATCGAACCCCGAGATCGAACCCTGAGATCAGGAAATGAGCTGTTTAATGCTTGACTTATCTTTGTCTTCTTTGGTTTTGTCTGCTGTTCAATCTGCTGTGGAAATTTTGACTTTGAATGAGATTTAGAGAAATTGTGACCCTTTTCCTATGAGCTTTCGAAAGTTATCGAACATTTGTGGGAACTTTTATTCGCGCCTCGCCCCTTTTGCCATTGGCAATCTAACTTTGAGCTTAAATATCTTGGTGTTGGGCGGTCCAATGTAAACTTTCTTGGAATCCCGCCCAACACCAAGATATTTAAGCTCAAAGTTGAGTCGATGGCAAAGGGGCGGGGCCAGAAAGACCTTTTATACGCGCCTCGCCTCTTTTGCCATCGACCCAACTTTGAGCTTAAATATCTTGGTGTTGGGCTGTTCAATTTAAATAGTTTTTATACCAATCGACAGAGAAAGACTTGGCGCATCTAATGATACCAAGAAAGTTTAAATCGAACAGCCCAACACCAAGATACTTGAGCTTAAAGTTAGGTTGCCAATGGCAAAAGGGGCGGGGCGTGGATCGAATGTCCCACAATTTTTTCGGATAATTCGAAATCCCAAAAACGATCAAGCTTTTTATTTCTCAAAGATTTTGTCTAAATAACTGTGTCTAGACTTTCGGAAGTCAATTGTTAGCTGTAGCTCAAAAAGCTGAGAAAGTAAAAGAGTAGTAAAATTCACTAATAAGCTAAACCCCAATGGTTCAAGCTCAGCAGTTTTACTTTTTGCAATGTCCCACAGATTGAGCAGTTTTACATTTTTTGTCCAACAATTGAATAAAGCAGATCAAATCTTGACTATTCTAGTGATTCAATAGGAAATAAAAGGCATTATTCTCCAAATAAAACCATTATCCCATGT